AAAGCCAGTAAAAGCCACCAGAAGCCAGCAAAACCCAACAGAAGCTAGCAAAAGCTACCAGAAGCCACCAGAAGCCAACAGAGATACCTAATGCCTAAACGTGAAAAAAATTCAAAAAAAAAACGAAAAAAAAAATCCTAGAAAAATATGAGTTCCCAATCCATGAATCATATCAACCATCAACAAAAAGCATTGTCTGGAACTTACAGTAACACGTCTCTTTGGTGATTCAGCTCACACCAGTTTTGAATGGTTTTGAGCTGAAACACCCGCAGCTCCTCTTCCCAATTATCTCCTCCAACCGCGGTGAGTGGAAGGAACACAAGGGCGTGTTTCCAGTCTATGCAACCATCTGTCAAAGTCGATCTTCCCGCCTCACCGTTGGCACTATGAAAAGAATTTGAGTGGTACCGCTCAGAACTCCAGGTGAACCGTCGCAAAGACTGCCTTTGGAAGTCCCCATACAAGCCACTACGTTGAAAAACAGCTTGAAGCGTTGTGTCCTGCGCTGCGTCCCAGGTCTCTCTTTTTGTGGATGTCAAACATGCACCAGGTTTGCCTGCTCCAGCTGGGTGCCCGCACGCCCGCCTCCTCCGCAATACCAGCTGGGCGCCCGTTGGAACCTGATGTGGGGAGATTCCCATTGTGAAAGGACTTTTTCTGCTAGAATCTTTCACTGGTGTTTTGTAAACAACCTCTCAGCATCTGCTTTTGTCAAAATAAGAAGAAAACCAAGAACCAGAATCCCTTCACCCAAGAAGTCCTTCTTTGACACACCAGCGAAATCAAAGCTCTACCCCGCCTGTGTCAGGCAAAGAACCCCCAGCAGCTGCGAGCTCACGGGCTGCGAATTCCTGGCACCAGGACACGACAAAACCGTGAAGAGACCAACCCGGGGGCCAAACCATTAAGCACAAAACCGACACAAAGGGAAACCTATCTAAGGAGATGTTCCATACCATGCACTATGAACAATCAAAACTCTCTAAAAATCTCTAAAGACGCAGAAAATGAAAGAAGCATTCTTCATGGTCAATGATCCTTCTTCGATCCTCGGCTTCCCCGGCCTGGCTCACGCCCTGCAAGCGATGAAGTCTCGGGAACGAGGCCAGGATGCCGCCCGGGGTGTTCTGGCGGACGGTTCGGACGATTCGTCAGTGGCATCGGTTGGACCTTCCAAGTCACAAAGAGACCGAAGTCGGTACCTCGAACATGAGGGGTATAAGTGTTCGAACGTGAGCCTCTAGGTCTTTGGGGATTGCGAAGGAGATACCAACCAAGACACACAAAATTTGCACAGGTCATGCAGTCATGCAGTGCTATCTGATCTCGTACAGAACCGCATGGGGAGTCTTGGATTGTCGGGATCTGTCGTCTTTGGTGGTCCCCAAGTGGGCGGTCCCACCACCCCACCTGCTCTACTTCCGCCCAATTAACCAGTGAGTCAGCGAGTATATTGCAAGGAATACAACCAGTCAGCTTCATGCCAAAAAAGAACTAGCAAATCCTAGAAGCTATTCGTCAGCCTGGTCAGAGTAGAATAAAAAAGAATCAAATACCGTTTTTTCTGCAAAAAGGCAGGATCCCTAACCTCCTCTCCGTCACCCGTGGAAGCAGCAAGCCCTGTTGAATGTAATTACCATGCCTTTGGAAGATAGACCGAACATGGGCCTCTTGGGAACACGTGTCGAGTGTGGTTTGTTGAAACTGCACCTTTCTCTTTGCCTTCACCTCAACTTGCCTGCAGAAATTCGCCCTTCTCACCTTCTCTAGCCTTTTCCCAGGAAATCGATCCCGCCAAACGATTCGATCTGCTTAGACCCAAGAAGTATGGCAGACGTGCTCCTCCATCTAATTCTGCTCCGAGTCGTCCAGGCCTCCGGATCCGGAACCTCCTGCAGCAGCTGCCGGAACGGCAAGTGGGCCTCGGTTTAAAGCGCAATCGAAGACTGGAAGTTGAAGCTGGAGTATGGGTAAGCTAGTGCCAAGCTAAGACATGGACCGCCTTGAAAATGAGGGACACAAAAACAGATCTCACTGGTGGAACATCAACTTGTTCGTTCGGTAAACACGGGGGTTGAGGAGACTTCGATGTTGAGATGTGAAATGGTGTAACCTTCCCACCCAGGAAGTGAAGGCAACTCCTGTGAGTCCAGGTTGTCTGCGATTGGTTGTGATGTTTACCTGCTCCAAACCTTTGGAGGGATGCAAGAGCCAACATCTATCAACAACTTAGGGAACAAGGACCGAGACTGTACAACAGCATCAGGGCATATATGCCTTAGGGCCTTAGGTCCATCGTGACTCTAGGAATATCGAGGAGCACCTTGCAGGTTCTATGAACCTCTTTAAAACTGAAAGCATTCGTACCCAGGCTGGCTTTCTTCCACTTTTGGACAATCCCCCCCAGGTTCACCCTCACAGGCCTCGTTCATCAAGCTATCCAAATTCAACGTCGTCCTGCAGCCAGGACCGCATGAAGAAAAGTCGCCAGTCCTTGCTTCAATTGCAATTCTCAACCAAGTGGCAACGGCTCGTGCAACTCAAGCACTGTCAAGACCGGCCCGTGCGCCTGTCGTCTGTAATGGGGCTGGCCTTAGCTTTAAGGTACCTCCAAATGGAGTTCGCACATTGAATATGGGACGGGTCCAAAGACTGAACTGTTCACATGTTTCAGTGACCCTGGTTACCAATCTGGAAAAGCTGGTTCGCTAGGATGCCATGATCTTGACGTGTCTTCGTTTGCCAAGCCAAATCACACACTGAAAACATTCGCGGGAGCTATATAGATGTTCTATCTTTCACCAAGATGCAGGATACATGCTATCAAGGTCTCGGGCACCAGTCCACCTAGCCTGTGCCGAGGGTGGAGTCGACCGGCGTGTGGGGTTTTCACTGGAGCATTGTCTATGGCCCGCTTCTTCCCCTACTCAGTTTGTTTCGATGTATATGGCTTGGAAGCTCAGGTTTACAACGGATGCAACCTCATCCAAATTTATCAAAAGAAAAGGATCTTCAGTATGGATTCCCACGAGTATATAATCTTAAGGGATATTGCAGCATAGTGCACATACATTATATACATCTGGACAGGGGAACATCTAGATTATCTCCCAAGCATGTTTTAATCTCCAGCAGTACCTCAGCACATGTGTGCGGCCGATATGTTCTTTTTCTAGACATTTCTGTAACTTGGCCTGCAACACATCAAGAAGTTGAATAAAGCTGAGGGACCCTGCTTGGATCTTCCTGCAAATCATTTCTGCGTTACATGTCAAAATCTTCAGTTCACCCCGTCTACCCGCAATGGCAATGCAGTGCCCGCGGCCTCAGGAGGAGCCTGTCGAAGTGAATCTGCCATTGAAACGACCTGGGAAAGCAAGGTGCACGTCCGATCACTGACCCAGCTCGACCTACCAGGGGAACTACATTGACAACATGACTCATGACTCATCTCATGACCCTGTTCTTTTTCAAGACCATTTGGACGGTTTGATGTGCATTCCAAAAGCGTTACGCAAAGAACAAGCAGGAGCTACTAGTAGTTTCTAGTTGCTAGTAGTTTCTTGCTCCTAATAGTAAGGCCAGGATCGCCTAGTAGCTTCTTGCTCCTAGCAGTAAGGCCAGGGGCCCCTAGTGGCCCCTAGTAGCTTCTTGTTCCTAGTAGCGTTAGGCTTGAAAGCGCATCCCACTTGGGCTCCGAACACCTGCCGAGAGATCTGATGAGAGCCTCCGAGAGCTCCGAACCGCCAAGGCAAATGTACTGAGTTCAAGAAATATGAACCAAGCAAGAGACCTAATTGTGTTTCAGGCAAAACATGCAGAAGCTCCTGTTCCAGTTCGCTGTCCCCCCCGCGAAACCTGCCATGTCTTTCTCTCCGTTGCACCAAAACGATTTTGGTTGACTGTTTTCAGCTCCGAAACAGCCCAAAAAAGAACAGAACGGCAGCTCCTGGGAGTGCAGTTTTTCAGGTTCTTTGCATTAGCAATAGGCCTAGATTTTACTACATAAACTGCACTCCCATATGCATGATCATTTGGGTCACCTGAACCTGGTAGCAGACAAGGCAATATTTGCAGACTCTTGGAACGAGGGAGGCCAAAAACCTTCAAAAAACCGAAGAAACAAAAAAAACAACCAAAAAAAAACAATATTCCCAGACTCTCTGGAAGAGGGGGTCCCAGCCAAGACTCTCTGAATATTGTTGTTTTTTGTTTTTTTGGCTTTTTGGTGTTTGTCCACAATGTCCAAAATTTTCCACAGAGTGCTCTGCTGGTAGTGCAGCTTTCTTGACAAATGTTAAGTTTCCTCGCAAATGTGTGTTCTTTCGAGGCAACATTTGTCACGAAAACTGCACTGCCAGGAGGGCACCCTGTTAAGATTTGCCAAGACAACTACACTGCGAGGAGGGCACTCTGTTAACCTTTGTTAAGAAAACTACATTGCCAGGAGTGCACTCTGCAGAAGATTCTGCACTTTGTGAGCACTTCTTGAAGAAAACACGCTAAAACACACAAAAAAAAATGTGTTTTCAGAAGTTTGTTCTCTGTGGGAGGGTTCACTCAAGACTCTCATAACTATACATTTTTGTGTTTTCTCGAGGTGTTTTTGGTTTTGTCCCATGGGGTCTGTATTTATGTGTTCCATAAAAGTGTTGATTGTTCAAGTGGCAGATAAATAAACAAACAAAAAAAATATATATATATATGTATATATGTATATTGCGTAAAATTAACGAAAACACACACCTCTAGAAAATCTACTTTCCCAGAGGTCCAGAGGAAACTATAAAAATGAAAGCGTTCAAACAAATCTTTTCAATATAGAAGTTACCAATCCCAGAGATCTGGAGGCAAGTTTGTGCAAAACACTTCTATTTTATATATGTTTATAGAAAGCTTTTGAACATAGAAATATTTATTCACAGAGATCCTTTCCTGCGAATTACATAGTGTCTATATATAATCTTTAAACAAATCATCATGCCCAAAGATCTGGGGGACAGCTTTTGAAATGCACCCTTGTGTATTAGTCTTGAATCAAATTAGACTTGACCAAGAATCAAGTTTTCACAATCAAAGCATTATGAATTACTGTCTAAGAAATATGATATTTGACCCTATCGTGGCTATGCCAAAGTTTTGCTATACCTTAGTCTAAAGAAAAATTTAGCTTTTGCAGTAAAGGTACCCTTCTCACACCCAATTGTCTTGCCAAACTCTCACCTTCTAGCTCTGCCATCACAAGCAGGCCAGGCTCAAAAGCAACTTAACACTAGACGCTGATGAGCCACAACACTAGTATACATTGAAGTATACACATATCTTCAATCACATTCAATCTTCTAAAAAACTGCACTCCCACAGCCTGCCACTCTCAAAAAGAATGTGTTGAAATGCGAAATGATCAGAACTATTCAAGGTGCATCTTGGGATCCACTACGGTTGTCCTACTAACAAGTGTGAGGGTCAAAGTTAATCGCCTTTGCACACAAATGGATTCACATACAAATCATACAACAGCATGAAGTAGGCAAAAACCAAACGTGGTTCGGTGAGGTGAAATCGAGGATGAAAAACCCTAACGTATCAATTTACCACAGATCACCATCTATTCCGAGATATTGCCATATACAATCATATACAGTATTTACTCTTGAACCCCCGAACCCCCCCTCCATCAGTCGAGAGCCTCTTCAAGCTTTGGGCCAAGTCTGCGGCCGCGAAGAGGCCCCGGTGGGCCTGGGTCAGGAACAGCGCACTTCAGGCGCTCAGCGGCGCCTGAAGCCCTTTGGAGACTCAGCCGCCTGTACTTAGAGTTGAGGAAATTAGGCAGCAAAACTTACAATGGTTCCAGCCCTTCTGAAAGCCACATGTGTGCTCTCCATCATTCAGCTTTTGGAGTGGACCTGCAATTGAACACGTCCTCAACGATCACTTGGTCAAAAGACAATATACACCATCCTGTTGTGTGTTTCAGTCAAACTACTGTCGCCCACTGGCACTGTGTTCCGGGCTTGCACGTCTTCAATGCTAGATTTATCTTCCTGTCATCGGCGTGCTTGGCTTGCTGGAGCCACCGAGGCAGACCCGTATGCTTCACACAAAAAGAGGCCCAAGACACATCACCTGGAACATCATGTCTGTCTGTTGCATATTGTGAAAACACAAACCGGGGCTCAAGAATCGGCAAATTGGAGGGGAGCGTGGCAGAGTTTGTTCTTTGGGCCAGCGGGCATTAAGGTCTTGTATGTCTTGTAAGACAAGAACAATATCTAGACCCTCATCCGCAAAGCAAATGCTTTAGGAGTTGCGCTGCCCCACCACATGAGCCTTGCGCTGATGGTGGCACTCCTCTTCCAAGAACTTCTCCTGGAAGACAAGCGAAGACACCAAAAGGCCTAAAAGATGTCAAAAGGAATGTGAAATGCAAAAGGAATAGGAAACCTTCGTCATCCTACTAACTCTGGCACGCTCTTCAAGAGTCAAAAAAGAGAATCCAAATAGGATCCAGCCTTGACCACTTGGTTGGAGCCCACCAGAATTCCGAGAGAGCCAATATATAGAAGGTAGAAGTATATACTTACAGTATATACAGTATGTGACCTGCAGAAGATGAAACAAGAGGCCGATCGGAATCTGGGACTGGTAAAGCGACACATGACCCACCACGTGAGTGAACCTTGAACTACCAGACATTCGGCTCCGTGTTGAAGGTATTGCAACCAACATCTTTCGGAGAGATTCGATCAAATTTGACTGCTTCACAGCAGAGTTTCCCATGAGACCGAGCAAACTGGCTCCTCACCGTCCTGTGTGACCAGAACCTCAGACAAAGTGAGGCAAATCAGTGTTTGGAAAGCATTGTGGCAATCACACCGGGTCAAACAATGCTGCATTATTTTAGACTTAGTCCTTACGTAGGTTCTATATAAACATATGGCTTATATACAACTATGTTTTCAGGAATCCACAACTATTCTAGCTTCGTGGAGGATGCGGGCACACAACGAGGCTTTGGCTCAAGGCACATGCTATGGATGGCCAGGCATGCAACGCGACTTGTGACAAACTTCAGGTACCCGTCAAACCTGTGCACCACCTTCCATGCCAATAATAACAATCAGGGTTGGCCACCTCTTGAATACCAAGCATTAGGTAGGTCCAATCTTTCTCTGCAACACGGGGCAACTGAGGGGACCAGCACATAGCATCGTGTCTGTAGTGAATATCTAGACAGTGGGAAAGTGTTGGTGACATGGATCCCTGAGTTCGTGAGTCAGCTCTAGCTAGTTGACATCTGTACACTGTATACACTCATTCCTTGCAACGGCAATCCAGCGTCCCATCTGCACAGAACGAGGAAGACCTCGCGCCACCTTTCTGGGCCACCCTGGCAGTCGATTGGATGGAGTCCTGCGAGAGAATGGCTAGTGTGGCCGTGGGGTTCACGGTTCGCTTGTGAAAGCCTCTCTTCAGAGCTCAGAAACTGTCTGGTCCCAGCTGGTCCCAGCTGGCTTGTGAGGCTGCTCCGTGACTCTGATGCTTCGGACTGAGAAACAAAACGAGAAATGGAATGAGATCTGCATGATACAGGAGACTCTGATGGCCTCCAACCTAATAGCGATGGCCTCCACCTAGTAGATTCTAGCTACTACCATTCGAAACCTTCACAAAACCGATTCCGTGGAATTGGTCTACTCAGATTTTCACCGCCGCTCCATGGTCGCGCAAAAAAAGCCATCCATACCTTTGCTTTGTGGTCTCGCATGAAGTGGAGGGTGGCTGAGGTACAAACCAAAGTTTTCACAGAACAATCGAACTTGTTGCGCATTCTCTTCGTCTAAGACGCTACATGTGGCATACACGATCTTACCCCCATCCTTCAGATACTTTAGAGCATCCTCAAAGACCTCACGTTGAAGGGCCACCCACCTTGCTAAGCGATCATCAGAATAGATCCATTTCATGTCAGGGTTCCTGCGCAAGGCACCAGTTTGAGAGCATGGCGCGTCCACCAGTACCCAATCCATTTGTCTTTGGAGCCGTGAGAGTTGCGGGTGACTGGGCGGCAACAAGGTGAAATTCTCGATCTTGGCCTTTCGGAAGCGGCGTTTCGATTCGAAGAGTTTGGTGTCTCGGATGTCGTGGAGGTAGATTTGTCCACGGTTCAGCATGCGAGGAGCAATGCACAAGGCCTTACCACCACTGCCAGCACAGTAGTCCATGACCAAATCTCCGGGTTTGGCATCCACCTGTTCAGCGATCAGCTGAGAGGATTCATCCTGCATTTCGAAATAGCCAAGCTTGTACTCGGGAATGTCCAGCAGGTTCTGCTTCGATGTGAGAAGCAAGCCCATCTTAGAATTTAGCGTTTTCTCAACTGGTACCGATCGGCTACTGAGGAATGTGTGCACCTTGTCACGGGAAATGCGAGCGGTGTTCACTCGCAGAAAGGTCATGGCAGGCTCATTCAGAATATCGCACACATCTGCAGCTGCCTTGGCGCCCAGACTTTTCTCAAACTTGTTGAACAGCTCCAGCGGGAAGGAGCAGCGCACATGAGGAGGGAGCTTCTTGTTCTGCGTGTGCGATCGCCATCCATCACCCATGAAGAAGGTCCGCATTCGAGTGACCCAGTTGTGGGGCTTATGTGTCAAATGGTCAATCAAGCCTTTCCACCGGTAGAGCTCATAGGTCTTCTCGGCGATCCACGCGCGATCCTTCACATCCAGAAACTTGTGCCCCTGAAAGTAGCGCCGTAGGAACAAGTCGATGGGCAAACACGGAGCTTCAGTCTTCCGGGTCTTCTCGAAAAGGTTCAGCGCATTTTCCAAGTGTCGGACGCGCGTTGCATTCATCTCGTCTGTCCACACGGAAGTGTCCCCCCTACTCAAATGATTCTGTAGCTGTGTTGGAATCTATGACCCTTTGCTACAGCTTCAGGTGCCTGGCATGCTTCGTGAGGCAAGCTTTGGTTGGGTGTCTCGTTCTATGGTGTCTGATAAGTTGCAAAACACCTGGAGCCAAAGTCACAGGTGTTCAGTGACAATCAAATGAATAGATCGGGACTCAGGAGTCCTCAGAAGCCTCAGTAGTGCCGCCTAGTTTCAACTGTGGACACTCTACTCTACTCGTCGAAATACCACCCCAAGTATCTCAAGCATGGCCAATCTAGCAGCTATAGCACAAGCTTCTAGACGCGGCCAGTTGAGAATTTGGCCGCATCATCCTGGAACAATAAAGATCCTTCTCTGAAGCTTTCTTTCACCAGCCCCTCTGGCACTCTGCAACCTTCCTACCACCAACACTCCCCCAAAACCGCCCATCAGTCCCGTGAGGGGGGTGTTTTCGCTCCCTTGGGCTCACGGGACCAAAGGTTGGCCACCTGGACGTCAGCGACATCAAGATTGACAGCGTCAACACTCACTTCAGGGTCAAAAATCCCCAAGGTGCCCTGGCAGCTCTGACTATCTTCTCGGCTTTTTCTAAAGGGAAAAAGGCGGCTTTGGATTTAGCTTTAAAATTGTCAGTTGATCCTTAGCCAGAGAGGAAACGACTCCAAGCTTTGGTAATTGAACCAAGTAATCCGAAAGCTCTCCGGAAAATATGGCAAGCCCATTCCAAGCCAGGCAGACCCCTTCGCTGAGACTCTCCAAAAGGGAAGCTCTTGGCTGACTTCTGGCCTCGCAAGAGCATCGGAAGTGTTGCTACACCATGTTAGGAAGCATACAGGTTCAGGTACAGCAACATAGAGGAGTCCCATAGCCCTTCCCCATGCTAGTCCTGGCAGATCCTTCACTGTAGGATTGACTCATCCAGTATTGAGGAGAAGAAACCAGCTGGACGGCCAAATTACCAATCCCCATATAGAATTAGAACAAAATCTCGAGGAATACCCATCAAGGCCCAGGCTTATTATGTTATTATGTTAGATGTTGGGTCTCAATTCTCGACAACTTTCCATCTGCCTGTGGTGCAGGCGCTCTGGAGTCTCCTGCCAATCGGGCATGTCGGGGGCGTAGGGCAACTCCCAACTCAATTCCTAGAGGCTTGTGGCTGTTTGAGGGTCTTCTATCCAGTGAAGTGTCGAAAGTAAATCGAGCGCTGCACTCGTCCACCCATGACATTCAACGGCCAACCATGTCCTGCACTCTCAAAGTCTCCGTTCTCTTCTGTGGCTGCACAAGCAACGGGAAATCCTGCTCGTCGCAAGAATCGCGATTCCAAGAAGCAGTGCGAGATTGGTGGCAGTCCAAGGCCAGGAGCAACCGCAAAACCTGACCAAATGGTCGGAGTGGATTAGTGGGACGACCTGCCAAAGACCAGCTAGAACAAAAGGTCATGGACTGTTCCATACCGACGTTGATCGCGTCCTCCAGATGAGGACGCTCTTGAAGCACGCCTTCGCTTCATGTAGCCACTGCTAGTCCTTGCGCTAAGCAGCTGAGGTTGGGTAGAGAATTTGCGGATTCGGAATGTATAGGTGTGGACAGGCAATTTAGATCGATTGTATAAACAGGCATCGCAGGTTCATCTGCAGATACATCCCTATGATTCTATACGACAAGAAAACCTATAACATCCTATAGACGTCAAGCAAACAGTTTACTGCTCCCCTGCTCAAGCCCAGCTCTCGTTTCTGCTCCCAGTTGACGAAAGCAATGGTCTTGCCCTTTTGAGAAGAATCTACTGCTTCCAGTTCCTATGCGTGCGTGTGTCCTCTCTGGGTATAAATCGCATGGGGAGTGCCTGTTTGAATGTACAGTACACTACAGTATGAAGGTTTGCATGTCAGGCTTGAGAATGGGCCATGGGGACTACAGCGGCCCACCCTCTGAATTTCCAGGCAAAGGACAGTCACACCCTCTGGTAAAAGGCAAAATATACTAAAATCGCATTGGTTGGGAAGTGTCCCTATTCTTCTGCACAGCCAAGAGAGGCCAACACCAGGACAGGACCTCCCCACTAGCATTGCCGCCAGCAGCGCAAGACATCGCAGCCTGCGGCTGCTTTTCTCATCTGCAAAGAGGTAGCGGTCATCTCCAGCCTGGGGGAGAGCCCTGAAGACGGTTCAAAACCGCCTGTTGCTTGTCCATCCACGATTAGAAACGGTATGTATGCTTGAGACATTTGATTGTTGTGTGAACCAAGCACACTCCCAAAATGGAAGTGTCAAAAATCAGTGGTGATGTGAAATCTGGCTTGTCGGGCCATGTGAAAGAATCCTTATTGATTCTACTAGTAGCAAAAATGAGTAATGCTACCCAATTTCTGACCTCAAAAAGGAAAATGCGGTAGCAATCACTGACCTCAGCAAGCAGCTATTCCAATGCCCCAAGTGCTCGCCTCATCCAAGCTACTCTCGTCTGTTGACCAAACCTGTGAAACCTCGGCAACACGAGGAGTCTAAGAGCTGCTCCGGTGCTTGGTTCCGGTCTAACAGCACCCGGCATAGACGATCCTTTAAAATAAACAGAATGAAACAGACATGAGACATAGTGCATTCAAGATAGATAGATAGGTAGATAGATAGATAAATAAATACCATTATTTACTGTGAATTTCTCAACAAAAGAATTTCAAAACATAGATTTAAAAATCTTTGATGCAAAGCCTACTGATGCGAGTCGCTCGGTCTCGAACCCAACCACAAACCGGATCCTGATTTGCAAAATACGTAGCGCTGGGATCAGCAACGACTCCCGAGTCAAATTTGTCCGAAGTTTGAGACACCGAAAGCACAGCCCAAAACCCTTCGCTAGTAGTAACAAGTGCCTTACTACGAGTAACAAAAAGCTCTTGGAATTAAATTAACTAATAGCTTCTTGTTACTACTAGTAAGGCACTTGTTACTAGAAGCGATGCACTTGTTCCTAGTAGCTTATGTCCGAAGTTTGAGACACCGAAAGCACAGCCCAAAGAGTTTCAAAGCCCACTAGACTCTAGACCTGCCGCAACCTGAGCTCCCTACGACCACGGGGTTCGGCGGCATCAGCGAGGGAGTGCTGCTCTCACTGTTCGGACTCCGGCCACGACCCACCATCCTGCCAGGTCACTGCTGGGCAACTGAAGACTTCCGGACGAGATGGACGTGTAGGTTCCAGATCATGTCACCCCTTCACTTTTCTGGCGACTTAGCACGCACAAGGGTGATCAGGCGTAGCTTGTCTCTCAAGCGATTCTCTCTTGACTCCTGAGTTATTCTCTTCCCGTCAGTTCTCTTGCGATCTCTACAAACCTCGAAGCTCTTGAAACTATACTGTTTCTCGGCCCGAGGCTGTGCAATAGTCCATAGTCAGTTGGTTCAAAAGAACTGTTAAATCGTTCTCACTTTAGCTGAGTATGTCCCCCCACTAATGCTTGGCCCAGAAAACACTTCCCCACACATTGAGCCTGACACTGCCCTTTCCACCCTCAGAAGCCACGGAGCCCTTCCCGCTGTCAGCGCCTCAAGATCCGGAGCTTGTGATTCAAGATACGGACTTGGGTTCAGTTATGATGATGATGATGATGAGGAGGAGGAGGAGGACGACGACGACGACGACGATGGTGAAGAGGAAGAGTAGGGTTCAAACGGCTGCTTGGACAGGGTTCAGGCAGAAAGCTCCTCACAGACATGCCATGAACGTTTCGAAGACTTGGGGTAGACCCAAGTCCTGTGTGAACATGGAAAGCGATGGCATGCCACTTGGCTGTTTTGAAATGACACTCTCCCATGTGATGAAAGCCATGCATCATCTGGCGATCAGTCTGAGAGCCTGACCACTGCTGGCTCCTGGCTCAAGCGCGCAAACCAGTGAAGACCCTCTGCTGAACACAAGAAACCCACAGAGGGCATAGGAAGATGGGTTCCCTGCCAAGGGCAAAACTCCACATTCTAGGGACCCATCAAAGCAGTTGTCAGTTCATGCTTGAACTGGTCTGGTTCATTTTGAGTCTCTCTTCGTTGGCACTGACCAGTCCCTCCAGAGGAGCAGAACATGAACCGCCGAGGCCGATGGTTGCCCCCCCTCAGAGCGCCATGGAGTCCAGACAAGCATAGAGGGATGCGCAAACATCCATAGAGCAAAGTCTTACAGCTGTAGTGAAGCTGTGGCCCAGTGGCACTGTTGCATGAAGGGTCTTCTCATGTCTTCTCAGTCCTCTTGCGCTTGCGTGTCCGGATGGGTCTGATGCTCTTTCGGCTCCTGGCTGCAATGAATCCGTGGAAGGATCTTAAGTGGACTCTCTGTGCTTGAATGTTTGCAGTTTGGAAGAAGAAGAAGAAGAAAACGAGGAGGAGGAGGAGCAGCAGCCAAAGGATATTCAAGAGGAACAAAAGGAAAAAAGATATATTCTTGGCAATGTGCATGCCAAGCGTGTGGACATCCCCTCTTAGCACGTCACAAGACGCTGACTAAAGCCTCGGTTTCAGAACCCCGCCTTGCATCACTGGCCATGAATGCCCGTGGCAGGCGATTCACCTCAGGCAAGAAGCTCAAGAAATTCTCGCTCACAGAAGAAAGAGGTTCAAGTTCTTTCTCACCATGCTCTTGGCCGATGTGTCTGGGATACATCCGCCCATTGCGAGCAAGGCTCGGCAGTATTTATTCACCTCGAGAATGTCGTTTCGAATTGTACTTTTGAGCGCAGCAGCTACAAAAAGGACATCCTGTGACATTCAGTAGCACTGCTGGTTCTTACAAAGGGTCTTCTCTCATGACTGCAGCACCTTGGCCGGTCACTTATCCGGTCGCAAGTCACAAGTTAAAAGGGGAGATCCCGCATTTGCCTAGCCCACCTTACAAACATCCTGTTCAGGCATGGTGACTAGTCGGTTACCAGTCACAATCCTCCAACTCAATTTAAAGTCGTGGATCTTGGCGGACAAGAACCTTCTGTCAATGTTGAAGCAGCCTTCTAACTCATCCGTTCATAATGAAGACTGATAAAGTTTGGAGTCTGTCACTGTGAGTAGCTATCATTTCTCGGGAGATATTGCCTGGTGGACTTTGCCGCCCTCATTTTTACCCGCTCTTCGCCCGTCTGCACATCTGCTTCATCGCGTGGTCTGGCAGCACGACGGGCACGGCGCTCATCTCCTAGATGGAGAAAGCGCGAAACACCTGCCCCAGGGATTCCCAAGGACAAAATAGATCAAAAACCGAAAGATGTATACAGTAGTTGGTTAGATGCATAGATAGATCGACAGACAGACACAGACACAGACACAGAGACAGAGACAGAGACAGAGACAGAGAAAGATAGGCAAACAAATTGATATCACAACCGGTGGATATCCATCACCCAGGTAGTCCAAGCTCGTTTGCAGGGGACTTGGGGAACAAGTTGAGGATATATAAACCCTTTGGCGTCGAGTGTATGAAGCTATCTAGAGATGTTGCAAGCTTCACAAATTACTCACCAAGTTAACCGGGAAAGACGAAAGGAAACGGATCACCACCATTTCCAGGACCCCTCACCAGCTCCCCAGCTCCCTTGGCGAGTGTCGGTGCTGTGCCAGGACTTTGTAGGCCGGGTGAGCAGCCCAGGTGGATTCGAAGAGTTTTCCTTGGACGCTTGGGAAGGAGCAAGAGACGCTACTAGTAGCATAGGGCATCGCTACTAGGGGCTCCTGGCCTTACTTACTACTTGGAACAAGAAGCTACTAGTAACGAAAACAGAAGGCATGGGCAACATCAGGAAGACCCGTGGAAGACTCCCATAGTGCTCGTCCACGACCAAATTTTGTCCACCCTACACGCACTCTCTCTCTCTCTCTCTCGCTCTCTCTTTTTCTCTTCCACTTCTTCCACCCACGAGTCCAGCTCTCTTCAGACAGCAAAATTGGACGCGGTGATGAAAACTAAATAGAGTGAACTTGGTAAGGCGATTGAATAACCATTGTCCATGAGTAGGACAGTCCCATCATGTCTCATCAAGCTACACTCGTAGCGCACAGGCTCATTGCCCGAACACCGACCACCACCCTACCTTGCCATGAGTCTGTTCAGCCAGACCTTCAAATGCAAATGGCGAATGTTCTGGAAGGTCCCAGCGTTCAATCGCATGTCCACGAAGGGATCTCCCTCCTTAGCGATGGGTTCCACGGATTTCTTCACAAAAGGCAAAACTGTCTCCCAGTCCACACTACATCACAACCAAACAAAACCCAGTCAACCCGGCCCAGGGCCCGCGCCTGTGGCCCGCTGCTTTCCTCAATGACATTCAAGGCCAAAGTCCAAAGCTCCAAGAGCTCTGCATCGCTGCAGTCCCGTTGAAAGCGCACCTGATGTCCAACGAGGTGGTTAGTGTGCATGGAAGTGCTGGGGTTCCATTCACAACTTCTAGGAGATTCCCGTGATCAGCTCAAAAACACACAGTAGTTCAAGGTTCTCTAGAATCGCTTGTAGATTGCAAGGCCCAGAGCTTCAGGTTGAAGAAATGCACCCATTCACTGCCACGTCAGTAACTCCAGCATGAGTTTTCATGTCAATTTGGCTTCACCACTTTGGCCAATCGTGTTCACAAGCAACACCCACCAGCGTGGATTTCTTGAGATCTTGTGCAGGCCAACACGCACCAGCCACCACCACGTTCGTTTGTTTTTCCTGAGCGTTCGGCAAAGCGTTCCAGGACCACCACTAGCACGGGTCTACCCTGCGCAGCGGTGCGCCTCTCGCGCTGATAACGCTCATTGAGACTGTCTCAAAACAGCTTGGGGAAAATGGTTACACTGCATGTAGTATTAAGTCGTATGAAAGGCTTGAATACGGTGCTGCCTTTGCTCAAAAAAACTTCATAAAGTTTGCCATGCCCCCGCACGGCACAGAGACCTGCCCAGCCTGTGCATCCAATGCACATCGCGTGTGCTCGCCGCGCTTCAGAGTGATATCTCCGGAAGTAATCGGGAGCCTCACATGCCTAAGATCGAAAAGGACATGAAAGCAAGAACAAAACACTGCGCCTTGAAACTGCCAAAGCTGCCATGTGCTTGCGGAAAGGTTGGAATCATTATGTAAGGTAATTAAGGAGGCATGAGGTGTGAAAAATGGCCTCGGGCAAGAATAATACATGAAAAAATCATATTCTGTTTGATTCTCAACTATGTCTTATCAAACACAACATGACGGTATGAATTGAAACCCTGCCCCTGCCTTCCAGACGCATCTTGGTAGTCAATGGCAGCATCCAGGTCCAACAAAGTGTCTGCATCTGCCCAGGGGACTACTTCATAGTGGGAAAGATACAGCTTTACTTCAAATCACAACCTTTTGCACCAGTACTGACGGAATCTCTAAACGGAAAACATCAATAGATAAGAGCTGCCCTGCCGTTTCTTTCATGCCGTTCACCTATTATAATTACATTGCAATGAAAACCACATGCTAACTGGACCTCACTGGTGGAAACCACGCGATCCAGTTTTGGAGCAGCAGGTCCTGGCACATGAACCCACGTCTGACAGCCTGCAGGCTCACGTTTGCGGGCTGCATCGGCGAAGATCGACACTGAGAAGCCTGCACCGAAAATGACACGCAGGGCAGAATCGCCCAGCAAAATGCAGTGATGATCCAGGTAAGGCCACTGCATGTGGTTTTCACAAAGAATGATGGGAGCCTCTACCACGCTCTACCACCCCTTAGCAGCACAACTCCTTTCAGCAGCAACCTGCGACCTCCAGCTGGCGCCTGCGCGCGCCAGATCTTCCACTAGCTCTGCTGGAGGCTCCAGTCCCCGAAGAGGCAAAGACCCGGCTGTGATCCGCAAGTTGTAGTTCTCATGACCTGTGAGTGACGCTACCAACAGTGTGAGGAGCAAAACTTGCACCTTCCCCATCTTGCCAGCCTCAATGTATGCGGACGTTGAGGATTCAACTATTCATGTTGCTCGAATGAGAAGAGGCTTGCAAGCTTCAAAGGATGGATGTTGTCCAAGTACAAGTCTTGGCTGCAATTTCTGCAGCAAGTTGATGTTCCACTCTGGCCACTGAACGGTACTGCTACGACTCTACGACTTCCTGGTAGATGTACCCTGTCCTAGCTCAGCACATGCTAGCTGCTGCTCCCCGGCAGCCCAGCAGGCCAGCCTTCCACCTCCTCAATGACACGCAGCGTCTCGCGTAGGAAGCCAATGAAGCTGGATGGCTCGGAGCGAATGAGTTTGAGGAAGCTCCCGTGGCCGCAGCGAGGCACCAGCAACAGCCGCGACTGTACTCCTTCAAAGTGACAGGCGACGTTGATCGATTTTTGTTTAGCCCGCTCCCCCCCCTCCAGACTTAATTAAGTAGTCGCCTACTGAATTAAGTAAGGGAGAGGTAGCTAGTAGGCACAGCGCTCCTAGGCAGGACGCAGGATAGTTCACGCTTCTTCAAAGAAGCTCGCACTATTCATTTGCTTTCTAGATTTTTAGGGAAACTTAAGCTATTAGGCGGAACTCGACGAGTTGGAAGTTACAAAGTCTTTTGCATCAAAAGCGGCAAAAACATACCAAAATCCCACAGTTGTTGGTGGCCATGTTGATGCTGTGCTTCTACATCTGGTTCAAGACATGAGGGCATGAGGATAAAAAAGAGGGTTTCTCTTCGTGCAAGCCACTGTTGCTTCTCTCTGTTCTATTGCCTCCACGCTCGGAAGTTTGGAAGTGTCGGGTGTTTTCCAGCCTCTTCGCTGGTTCAGTGAGACCCTTCACTGTAGGGAGGTAGATCTTGAGACATCGCACTCTTTGCAATGAAAGTGAACATGGCTACTAGTAGCTTCTGGCATTTCTACTAGGAACAAGAAGCTACTAGTAACAAGGGCATCGCTATTAGTAGCAAGTTAATTCTCAGAGCGCTTGCGGGCAGCCTGGGCAGAACACGCATTTCACACCATCAAACCACACCGTCACACCCCCACGACATCAAGCTCCTCTCTGTGCCGCATAGGTCAGCAGGGGAGTTGACAACACTTCCATCTGCTGAAAAGCCACTTGCCATGGCAGCTTCTAAAAATTGATTGGGTTTTTTTCCTCTTTCACAAGCAAGTGAACTATTATATATGTGTCAATTTTCAGAACTAGAAAGCTGGGACCCCAGAAAGGGTGGAAAATGCAAAGAATCCAGTTTGACTGGGTGAGGAATACTTAGCGCTTGTGCAACAAAGTCTTGGGTTTGTCGAAGATGATTCGATTCACGCAAGGTCACGAATCCGTGGGAGATTCCCAGAATCAGTGGTGTCATCCCTGGCCGGCAGTCAGTGTTTTGATGAAAAAAAAGGACTTCATCCAAGCAGGCAGAATTAGCGGTTAAGCATATTCTGTTCATAAGAAAGTAAGTCGGCAACTGTGACGATGACAATAATCAATAATCTTCTGAATGGCTCCAAAATGTTTAACCCTCTATCCTTGGCATGGGTGAGGAAGTTTCCTGGCTCCACCCCATTCATTCCTGCAACTCGTTAAGTGAGGATGGATGCACTCATCAAGGCTGTTCGTTTGGGCGCATCTGAACATCAGCCCTCGGCACGCCCTCCTTGTGACCAGCTTGGCCTCCGCCGAGGTCGTACTGGGACCCCGGCCACCAGATGGTCTCAAGGCAACAGGCCGCAATCATGAGCCACGCGTCCCTAAGAAGCTCAACAAAGCTACACGACCTATGGCCGTCATGGCTACCTCAGTTCTTGTTCTGGCCAAGGGTAGCCATGTGGTGTTCTCAAACGCTTGTTTTCTTCAACACTTCCATGAACTTGCCTAACTAGACTATACCCCACATTCAGCATTTGCTGGTTCGAGCAGCAGCCGGCATAGAACGTATCCTGCTTGTTGGGCGGATCGATATTTGGAACACTCGCCGCTGCATGCAATCCGTAAAGAAAAGTCAAACAACAAATGCAGAACTAGTTAGTGACAGTGAGGCTGACAGCAAGACTGCTTCTTCAGCGGTTTTCAGTTAAGTCTATCATCAAAGGCCGGCTATCGTAGGCGAAAAAATACTTTTATATTATATACACTCCCGAGCAAGTAGAACCACCAACAAAGCCCCTCTCACTGGCAGGGCCGTCTTCTTTCTTTAAAACTCCACATCTACGGGAGGGTCGCTACAAGAAGAACCAATAGCGCCAGCCAGGACTGCAGCGCTGGCAGAGCTTGTGATTGAAGGATCAAATGGCAAGTTCCACACATGGCCGCGAAAAGCGCGCCATAGATGTGCCCAGCAAAATCAGTGGCTGCGTACTCTCGCACATCCAGGGCTAAGATGTTGGGAAACGTGCGGAAGAAACAGTGAAACGCAAACCAAACTAGAATGGCATTGGAAACAGTTAGGTCTGCCGGTGCACAGGCAGCTAAATACACTAACGCCGTGCACGCGCTCACATAGAAAGGCAGGTGCTTCCGGAGGCGTGTACTCACAGGCGACACAAACTCTGGCGCCAAACGTGCTCCCACAAGCATGGCTTTGGCTTGGGGCGAAGAAAGTCTGAATGAAGCTGCCAAACTTTGGTGTCCGGCCACCAGAATCCCCAGCACAGCTGCGCCATAGACACATGCGCTGGAACCCCGGCTGTTAGAGAGGTTTGCCACAGCGTCCACATGTTCCACGGGCATGGACGCGAAATCGGCACTGTGTCGGAGTTGGTGACGCAAAGTTAGCCAGCTGAGCCAGCAGCCGCAAGCTCCCGAGAGCAAAAACACAACGAGAAAGACGAAGGTTCCCAGCTCTTCTTCTGCAGGTGCCCCAGCAAGAATCAGCAGAAAGACTTCTCGAAGCAAATGGGAATTAGTGCCTTAAAGAAGAAACGAAGCATCGCAGGACCTTTTTGATTTCTTTGTTTCAACAACTTGGGACCAATTCCTTGCAAGTCTACAAATCGTTGCTCTGACCCGGCGAAAGCAAAAAGACTCTTGCGTGAAAAAGGTAGGGGTTCTTTTCGGTGAGCACACAAGTAGTCATTCATGTCATCTCAATGGTTCTTCATCAGCTACAGCGCTACAGCAGGGCCTGGTTGCAACCATAAATTAGAGCCAAGGCACCATGAAAAAAACTACTGGAGAAGAGAACCTCACTGCAATCACAATAAATTCCTGGAAATCAAAAGGCTCTCCTAGTTTATCTTCTGAGTACTTCAAGAAACAGGAACCAACTGCAAACTGCCGATAGATTTTAGTTGGATTTCGTCCGGCATGTCTAACTCTCTACTCTCGTGTTGGAGTGACACCCTATACGCACTACTCTCAGAAAAACCAGCTTCACACACAAATCCGTGGCCTGGTCGTGCTTTTGGAGTCTAAAATTTGGTCGAAACCTGAACAAAGCACGTCTGTGCCAACCTGGCCTGTTCCATGTCTTCTGTTCAAAACCCTTTTGGTTTGCAAACTTATTACAGTCAACATCGGAGCACAAAAAAACCTGAAACTGTGAGGGTCCTACTAAATGTTCCAAACAAATGAACATGATAATGATATCCTAAAGGTTTGCAGTCAAAATTGGCACCGCATGTGTATTTGTCATTTGCCACTCAAGAAACCCATCAAGCAGCTAAACTCAGAGCGTGATGTTCACTGATGTTTTAAACACCGGTAAGACAGAGATGCATGAGGGGGAACCAGTGTACCAGGGGAGGAGTTGACTAAGATGCGCCGCTGGGTTCCCCAAAGATTCACCTCCTGGCGTCCTACCCTGTCTCCACATCCGTGACCAGACCAAGAGACCCAAAGTTTTCCCTGCAAAAGAGCCTCTCCCGTGAAGTCCAGGTGTTGACCACACCACTTCCGCCAGCTTGGGGAAACACGCTCGAAGCTATGGGCCTCGATATCCCCCAAAACCCTTCGCCCTCTTTATTGAGTTCTTTCAACTGACAGGGCTTCATAAAACGATCGAACACACGGACTGGTGCACATGGGAACGGCAAAGCTGGAAGCGACAAAATCAACACGACATGTTCAACTTGGGACGTGCTGCACAAACTCTAAACCTGCATTTTTCCACGCATGACTGGTATCTTTCTGCTTTCGATCAAATCCTACAAGCGGTCACCACACAAACAAGAAGCGTTACAAAACCAAATAAAACACCGACCTCGAAGCCGAGAAGCCAAAAACATCGTTACGGCAAGGACCGTTGTCCCAGTCAGTGGCATCCAGCTAGCCATGGCTCTTGTCGTGTTACCTCTACCAAATCAATTGCCCTTTTTGTAATCCAAGTGGTTGTCATTGAAACTCACTCCGCAAAATATCAGCATAAACCCATCGAAAACCCATGAATATGCAAAGGGACCTGAAGATACTTTTCTCAGCCAGAATGACTTTCGCTTTGTCTCAAGACGACAGCTGGGATTTCAAAGATGCACACTCAAGCAAACCCCCGAGTCTTGAACCCGGCTATTCACTGCACAAGCGGTGGGTCAAGCATCGACCTTTGGTCTATTGCCTGGAATTGTTCACACAATCCGAAATCAAAATGTTGGCTTCACCCAGAAGAGCACGAATTGCCTCAATGGAGCTTTCACAGCGGCACTTCAATCACCTCCGGTGTCTGTGCCGGGACTATTGAATTCACAAAGCTAGCTCTAGTCTAAGCAAAGTCCGGAGAGCTTGCCACCATCATGTCACGGATTGACAAGTTGACCTACTTTGACCCTGAGAAATGTCACGCAAAGCTTGCCAACAATTCTTACCATATACCATGACAGAAGCAACTCCAGATCTGACTGATGGCCAATGATTAGTCAAACTGACCCAGCAGCGTCAACCCCTGCGAACTCAGTCAGCTCCCCGAAGACTTGTTAGCCTTAGACCATGATCTCAGCATATTTCAGCTCAATGTTAATCGCTCTTCACATAAAAACTGCTGCATTGCGTCAAACAAAAAGCGCCAGCATTGCCTGATTCATTTCTGCCAAGACCAAAACAAGCATTACATTCCGAACAGAAATGGACGGCGCTGCCGCAAGTTTCAGAAAAATCAACATAACAACGGCACAGCAATTGCTTTTCCCCGCGGCTACCTCCCCACAGCCATCCCCTCGAGCTGTACACTCACAGTCGGTCAATTTAGGCGATTGCCTTCCCCAATCTAGCTGTGTAGGCGTTGCAACCAACTCACCCCCACTGTCACTGCGTTGATGCAGGAAAGCACGGCGATGGTGTTGCAAACTCAGCGAGGCGGCCGCATTCATCAGCTTGATCCTGTGGGGCGCTTGGGAGACCAACTGCCATTCCGAACACAAAGAACAATAGGTCAACTATGGCAACTGCAAAAGGGAAAGGGCAAACTGGCAACACTGAAGGTTACTTTCCTCAGCAACATATATACACAGAATCACGCTCGCCTCCCGCTTTCTTTTTAAGCCCTTTGATTCCTCAGCTTCTTCATTGTCTGATTGCGAACTCGCTTCCTCCTCTTCTGGCATCACTTCCTTGCTTTCAAGCACATCGTTGTCAACAACTGGGTCATCAAGATTCTCAGCCTCACTGACGTCCATGTCTTCCTCTGCTGACTCAGATTCGCTTCCTTCCTTACTTTCTGCTGACTGGGTGTCATCGGCATCCTGTGCATCAGTGAGCACTTCATCATGTGCCTCAGAGAGCGCCTCATCTTGGCCAACTTCGGCGCAGCAAAGCTCCCGCTGCTCCACCTTTTGCTTCAGCAGTTCGGCCTTGCTTTTGACTTCTCTTGTCACAGGCAACACAGCAGCCTTCAAGGAATTCCAGGTGTCCAGCGCCTCCTGGTCCAAGTCGCGCCACAGCGGCTCATAGCCTGCCCAAGGCAAAAAAAACGATACTTTTGCACTGAAAAACATGGCACAACTGGCGTGGTCATTGACACAAATAGCACAAAAGCTACAAATCCATTGACATGTGCAGAATCACTTCCGCTGCTCTGCCTTCAAGTAGCAGCTGTGGCACACGTAGCAGGATTTCGTCTTTCATTCCCTCAAAGTTCAGGAAAAATTGGTGGCAACCGCTTATCAAGCCCTCGGTGACATGTTCCCACTTGATGGTCTGCACCTCGGGAGGCGTGAACGGAAACAAACGGACTGGAAGGCTCAACCAGAAAAACCATTCGCGAACGGAAGCTAGATGCTCGTCCGAAAGTACGTCTGGCCAAAAGCAAAGGGGACGAACTCACGACTCCCAACGCGAGTGGCCAAACATTCTTGGATGCGCAAGCAATGCCTGCATCATGTAAGCCTTGATACCTTACGTCAAAGGAAAGCCAGATCTCTCCCCCGACATTTTTTGCACCTCCCTCTTAAGGCTGCGACGGAGCGGTCAATGTGCTCTTTCATCTTTGCGAAGGAGCCTTTGCCCTTAATCTGTTTGGACTCTTCGAACGGCTTCTTCATACTCTCAACGACGTTGTGGGTAACTTCTTCACACAAGTCCCGCTTGAGCAGCGCTTCATGGCGGTCATTGATCTCCCTCATCTTCTGGAGGTAACCTGAAATGTTAGCCCCGGCACGGATTGCCTCAAGGCAGTGGATCTGCGGCAATTTCTGTGCCATCTGGTCGTGGAAGCGCGCGGTTTCCTCCTGGATGATCTCTTGCCATTCGTCGTAGAGCCGGCAGGTGGTTGCCAAAGAGTTCCATCCATTTTGGCTGAAAGCTGCCATAGCAGGGTTTGCTCAGCTCTTTTGGCCAATGAATTGGCCCCCGTGTGGAATTGGGGTTGATGCCCCCCTTCCGCGCCGCAGCACAATACGAATTCGGGTGGAAGCCATGCCACGCCGCTGCTGTGCTATTCGCACCAAGCCCGGCCACACGCGACCCTTCCTTGATGGCTGCAAGCAATCCATCATCGAAGATGTGCGCAACCTTGTTCGCAAATTCTTCCAATCGGCTTTCCAGCTTCTTTTTGAACAAAGCAATTCTCCTTGGATGTCAACTGCAGCTGAAGAAAACGTTACGAACTTTCGACACTGCGTACTCAGCTCCATCCAAAAGCCTGCTGCAATTCTAGCTAACTGACACAAAGCCCTCCGCCGTCCACTCGAAACTCTTCTAAAACCATATGTGGCAGCAAGCATCTTTAAAAAAATGTACCATCAGAATCAGGTTTGACTCGCAAAAACAAAGTATATAGCCTATTCCAAGCGCGACAAAACAACGTTGTCCAACAGGACTGTCCCTTGACTTCCCCTGTCAAAGCCACTCTTCAAACGCAGTTTTGCAAAGCTCCTTGTGCTCTTCCAAGCTCTCCCCATGTCCTAAATGACTGCACATGGCCGCTGCGATCTCAACCAAGTTTGTCATCACCCGCTTGGATCTTTTGTTCGCATAACGCAGCGCCTGCCTGGGTGGCAAAAAGAACGTGGAACAAATCGCTGGTGGATATTTTCACATTTCCGGCATGGTGGGGCACAGGTGTGGCTTAACCCATCTCAAAGTGTTCCAACCGAAAAGATGGTGGCACGACGGAAACAACGCCCATCAAGTTTCATCAACATAACAACAGCAGAGTGTTTCTTGTCAGAGGAAAAGAGAGAGAGAGAGAGAAAGAGTAAACAAAAACAAGATGGAACCCACGAACCCGGATGCAAACACTCAGAAAACAAGCTTTGTTTGACACTCCTGTTTTTTTTCACGAGTACGGACGCCGTGTGGGCATGGTGCCCAGGTCATCATTGAAGGAAGGAAAAAACAGTCAGATGGTGGAGAAAGGAACAAAGACAACCCAACAACAAAAAACCCAAACAACCGCAAACCAGAGCCCACAGGCCGAGTCTCCACCATCTTGTAGTCTTTCCTCTGTGCTAAGGTGAAACAGGTGAAACGAAAACTATTCGCGATCCATGGGCCTGAATTCTCGAACGAAGAGCATGGCAGCGCGGGTTTGTGCTCTAGCAAAGTTTCCAAAAAGTCTTCAAATGGACTTCACTTCTCTATTACCAGTGACCAGCGGCCACTGCACGGTGTGGCAAAAACCTGGTCACGATGCAGGTCAGGAGTATAGCTATGCTCCTACGCCGGTTGTATCCATGTCGAAATGGATCAGTGGTTGCTATGCTTCATGCCGTGGAAAAAACCTTTCTTGTGGCACAACCCGTTCAACTGATTGCGCTTACAAGTCCAGAGGCATATTAGTTGGTGATATAGAAGGTGGCGGTCATAGCAAACGACGAAAGCCTGCAGGTAAGGGTGCGAAAGGCATACCCCCTCGAAGGGAGGTCATCTCAGCACCCTTCGGCACCCGGAGGTGCCAAAACGGGGTGTCCCCTAACTCCGCGAAATGCTGCGGCATTGCAAAAAGTGGTCTGTTGCGCGCAGGGCCCGTGTGAAACAGGTGAAACATTGGACCTATCCTAACATGGTATCTGTACCCCTTTGTACAAAATTGGAAACGTCGGACATCAACAGAGGGAACTAAGGTTCCCCCTGGGCATCCTCCATTGCCACTCTATACCACCCGCCTGTTGGGAACGAGGAGCTAAGGCTCTCATTCCTACTGGCTCACTGTATTGCGAATGGCGAAAAGAGATTGACGGTCCTACTTGTTGTTTGCGCATTTCCTTTGCCGTAACTTGTTAGCGGTGTGTCTATCCACCATTCCCGCTGCGAAAGCATTGTTGGTCTTTGCAGGTCTGGAGAGCCCTCTCTCCATCGTTCACTGGCATCTGCCGACTGCTCTCGGTGCCGCTTGGACTAGACGAGTTACTCACCTTGGTCAAGGACGTATGTCCTTCGCCATGTGTTGCTTTTTCTCTGTTTGTACTTTGCTCGAAGGTGCGGACTGCCTGCAAAGGCGCATAGCGCCATACAGAGCAGGAGTAGGAACCTCCTGTAGCGAGGTACGTTGAAGGAAGGCTTCTTTTGCTGTGATCCTCAGCTCTACTCATGGTATTTGGCCTGCTGTGGCTTCTGGCCTACTCTGGACTCGAGCTAAGGCGCGCGCCCATGATGGATGTTAGTGAGCCTGCGATAGCTGTGATCCGAGAGGCTTGTCTTCACCCAAGACCAGGGGTATATCCCATGTCCGGGATCATATGTAGCCAGGGCGGCCATCTCATATCGGGACAAATGGCGAAAGCATTTTCTTCTGCATAGACTCCTCGCCATTTGTGCTTGCCTGGCATTTTGGCGAGCCTCTTCAAGGCAGTGCAATCCAAGAAGGCCCTACTTCCAATGTATCTTAGCGAAGGCGGGATTGCAAGCTCAACTAGGGCTGCCCAGTTCATAAAGGCTTTAACTCGGATTGTATGGAGAGTAGTCGGAAGGAGAACTTCTCTGAGGCTAGTGCAGTGCACAAAGGTGAATTCCGGAATTTCTTCAACAGTGGTGTTGCAAAGGTCTACACTCTTTAGCAGTCGGCAACTGTTACACGCATGCGCTCCAATAGCAGTAAAATGCTTTGTAAGAGCGAGTGCAGTGACTCCCGTAGAGCTAAGACAGCCCGGTGCCAGCTCACTGGTCCTAGCTTGCAGTGTTGACCCTCGGGGGGATGGAATCTCACACCAGGTAACCTCAGCAAGGTTAATGCACCCTTGAAAGAGGTATTGCCCGAACTTGGCTTCGTTACTGAATTTATTTGCAACCCCTTCAGATGCATACACCCATTGTAAGGAACAGCATTCCGCAAAGGCCTTGTATCCAAAGTCTCGGCAACCAGGAGCCGAGACACTGTTTAGTTGCTCGCAGTCACGAAAGGCGTTATCGGAAATGCCTACAACTGTGGCCGGCAGTTTGACAATGCGAAGCTGTCGGCAATTTTGCCAGGCCTCTGCTCCAATGAGCCTGATGCCTGACTCAACACTGACATGCCGCAGACGCGGAACCCCTGCAAAGGCCCCTTCTGGGACGATTTCCTCTGGGTTCATAGGGACATGAACGGCAAGCGGCAGGATGACACTGCTATCCTTGAAGACAACGGTGTATGCCACGCCTTGCTGTAGCCTGTCCCAGATTGGGTCCTCAAGGTATGTCTGTGTGGCAGTTTGCAGAAAGTCGATGGAGCACCCAAACACTTTGAGGTCAGTGACTGAGGCCAGATAGTCCATGACCTGGTCCTCTAGGTCCTCAAATCGATCAAACTTTGCCACACTGAGAGAGACCTTGATAGTCACCCCCGAGAGCGTGGTCAGTACCAAGGAGCAGTCCATGACCGGCTCCATTTCAGGGGGAGTACTAAGCCTGGATGAGTCGTCGAGCTCCATGAATGGCTGTCTACTTGCATTTACTGTTTGAGCCAAAAGCTTCTGACTCTGCTCATGGACTGTTCCTAGGGCCAGGGATGTTTCCTGAAGACAGATGCTAAGGCACCCACCTTGAACCTCACATGGACTGACCTGATGTTAGGAGTACTCTTGGTATAGCTCTTCATCAAAGGCGTCCGAATCGGGCCCATCCGCGGAGAGGAGCTCCACCCACCGGGGTTTTTCAAATTTGTCACACATGAAGAAAGCATTGTGCTCTGCCTGCACCCACTGTTCAATATCTCCCCAATCCAGGGGAGTAAATCGTTGCAGTTGCTCACACCCACAGAAAGCACGGTTGCCTATGTCACTGAGCTCTGTCGGGATGACTACTTCTTGGAGCATAACACAATTAAGGAAAGCTTCTTTGCCAATTTGTGTGAGTCTTGGTGGTAGCCATATGCAATGTAAGGCTACACAGTGGGCAAAGGTGGAGTAGAGTAGGGCTGTGATTTCTGTGCCCATGAGGTTGACCTCCACAAGTCGTTTGCAGTTTTCACAGGCCCTCGGCCCGATATTGTGAAAGTCACTTGGCAAACAGAGCTGTTCAATGCCTGCTCCACAAAATGCACCTTCAGGCAGCGCTCGGGGTTTATTGGTGTGGTCCATGTCAAAGGTGATGGTTGTAAGCGTGAGGCAACTCTCAAATGCATATTTGCCTAACTGTGCCCCTGGTGCTAGGACGTTGCTGTCCTCAGTTTCGTGACTGACACCAACTCGACCTAGGGAGCAGCACTCCGCAAACACTCTTCGACTGTACTGGACACACCCCGGGGCGGCCACCTCTCTCAGTACATAGCACCCCTGGAAGGTCCCTTCTGCAAGACTTATGACCGAGGGTGGGAGCTTGACAATTTGCAGTAGCTGGCAACTCTGCCAGGCCGCAATTCCTACATGTTGGATGCCCATTGCCACTTCTACATGCCGGAGCGAGGGTGCAGCATAGAAGGCTCTGTCAGCAATTTCTCCACGTGGGTTAGCCGGGACACGTACAGCTTTGGGGTAGCTTTCCCTTCCGTCCTCTTGGAACTGCCAGATGGAGTGTCCATCTACCATGCAGGGACGAACTACAATTTGTAGTTGCGGCCGTTGCAGGAGCGCTGTGCGAAATGCTTCTGGCAGGGGTTGCTGCGTGTGTAGGTCGAGCAAATCTAACTCACAGCCGAAGACATCCAAATCAGAAACTGTCGGCAGAAAGCAAAGAATGTCATCTTCCAGCTCTGCCACATCCTCGTACTGGGTGAGATTTGCTTGCATAGTATATTCCGTGCCTGCTATCGTGACCAAATCAAGACTGACCTCATAACGGTCTTGGTTAGGCGGCATTGTCGCGTAGGCGGCAGTCCGGGCGTTTATGCTCGAGTTGCTTGGGCCAAAAAACCGAGGTAACGGATATGTTGTCGTTGCGAAAATCATGATGACAT